CGAACTTCCGCCGCGCGGTAAGCATTACCGCGTCCTGTGTGCAGGAGCCATAACTTTATCGCTCCTTATGGTTCTTGCACACAGGACGCGGTAATGCTTGCCGCGCGGCGGAAGTTCGCGCGACAGCCAATCAATATGCTGCTTTTCGTAATAACCTTCGAGCTCCTACGGAAAAACAACATATTGATTGGCTGTCGGACGGACTTCCGCCGCGCGACAAGCATTACCGCGTACTGTGTGCAAGAACCATAAGTTCTGCTGCACCGTTGGGAAGAACAGTAACCTCGACGTCACTTCTGCTAGAAAGAACGCACTAGTGTGTACTTCTTGAACTAGTGCAAGAAGTTCAGCTGGAAAGAACAAACCTCAACTTACCGCATCGCAGTTCAGTTCATCGTCGGACGCAGTGTGAGTTTTTCGTAAAAGATTGAATTTTAGCCTGTAAATTTTTTCCATTCTTGAATTTCTCCAAGAAACAAACCTAAACCTATAAATCTCATACCTATTCAACTCCTATACCAAATTGTGGTGAAAAGGTCCACTGAGTTTAAGCCTGCAATCAAAGAAAGAAAGAAAGAGAGAAAAAAATTTTTTCCGTTTGCATGGTGTCATATCCGTATGAAATCAAGAAAGAGGAATTTAAAACCGACAAAAAGTTAAGGAGGATTAATACGTTTGGAAAAAAAAAAACAAGAAATAATACAGTTGTAAAATTATTTTATCCGGGGAGATTAGGTTAAAGACACACTAAACCAAGTCGCTAAACAGTCGAAAAGGAAAAGAAAATTGTTTAGAAAAGTTTTTTCGGCAAGTTTTCGAAATTTGCGAATATAGAGAATGTTCGGGTATTCGCCAGCCGTAGAAATGAAGAAACTTAAAGTATAAAAGAAGAAGAAACTTGACTAATTACAGGTTAAAAATTCAACATGAGAGCCAACAAACAAGGTGCAAAAGGTTTCAAATGTAAGTCATCATCATCGTTATTATAGTTTATGTTTGCACTTAAACTTGGCGGAAAGAATGCGTCTCAAAGAATGTCACATGTGTTTTGAGCTGTACTTTAACCAAATGTAACCTAATCTGATTCCCATTTCTAATTCAAGCACTGTGGGTATGTTTCGACATGAACAGCACAGAAAAGCATCAGCTGTTCTTCAAAGAACACTCTATAAGAAATCAAGAAGCTGAATATCCCAAGAACCAAACTCTCTTTGTACTTAATGTACCACCATATGCAACGACTGATTGTCTGAAACATACATTTGCCAAATGTTGTGGGAATGTACGCTCTGTTACATTTACAAACATGAAAGGATTTCGAATGGCATACGTTGTTTTTGAAAGGGATTCCTTCTTAGATGAGGCAATGGAACTTTCAAAGGATTGTGTGATCACATTGAACAATGATAAGAATATTTGTCTCACAGGATTAGAGAGTAAGTCAAGCTTTTTGCATATTATAAAAATAATTCTTGCATAAATTGTCCTTCTCATTTCTTTCATCACACAAATAGAATGGTCTAGAGAGTACAATGATTCTGTGTTCGATGAACAAGCAACAAAAATGGAGATTGAGAAATACTTGGCATCATATGACAAGGATATAAACGAGCGTGTCACAAAAGAGAAAGCTGCAGAAGAGGATGACGATGGCTGGACAACTGTAACAGGTCGAAAAAAAAGAGGACAGTTTGCACCAACTAGGAAGGAATCCACGATTAGCAAAGTGTTGCAAAAAGAGGAGCATCGCAAGAAAAAGAAACAGCTACTGAATTTCTACACTTTTCAAATTCGCGAAGCGAAGAAGCAAAGTAAATATGTGAAGTGCGAGAATCTCCTCGCATCGCAGCAGTACAACATAGTAATTTATTCATTTGATTGATCTCTCTTTCCAGATTTGGCGGAATTACGAAAAAAGTTCGAAATGGATAAAAAAAGGCTGCAAGAATTGAAATTAAAACGGACGTTTAAACCATTTTAGGTATAATGTATATATATATATATATTTTTTTTTGTATGTATGTACATGTGTGTGTATAATAATATAAGAATTTCGAGCTGAGCGGTGCATCAGTGATGTCAATTTATTCATACAATTGTCTCGACTATCGTTCCGTGTTATGTACAATGGATGATTTGATTTCGTCGCTTGTGGATAAACTGCGTTAACCAAAATGCATTTTACGTTGCATTTAGTCAAAAAAGTTGTGAGCTTGCCTCAGGTTGCCTTAGATGCATAAGTCTGTAATGTCCATTCTATCAAAAAGTGCTGATACGATAGCGGTTGTAAGAGCGCCAACAGTTCCTCTGCAACAGACATTTAGAGCGTACACGTGATTTGAAATATATATATATATATATACACGCGTGATTTGAATGTATGTATATATGCGCAAATTGTACGTTTGTTTCCGTAAATACAGTTGGCTGACATGGCCGCACTGACGGCTTGCGCGAGTCTCTCCATGGCCAAGTCGCGCGAAGCCGCCGTCACATTCGGATGGTTCTGCAGACTGGTCGTCAGTAGACGAGTCGTAGACGCGAGATGTTGCGCCGATATCGCGTGCTTATTGCTGCCGTTGTTCTTCAGACACAATACCGAGTCCATGAGCAACTGTTGAACCTTTGAGTAGAATTTCCGCGATTCCTCTTGACTGTCAATGGTATTTGCGCCGCTACGCAAAGGACTCAATATACACCATCTGCACATATTCAGAGGAATAAAATGCCTCTTCTTTTCCGATCGGGACATGGAGCGCGCGACAGTTGAAATACCTAAACAGACCAGCTATAGGTGTTATCGGCGTCATCGGGATTCCACCAGTAGGCAATGCTGGATTGTCCATCAGAGGAGTCAACAGTAAACTCGAATTCTCGTCGATCCATTCGCCGACTAATCCGAGCAGCTCATTAGGTGGGTCCTTATCCTCGTAAATCTCACCTATCGCCGTCAACAAGTTGGCGGTGAAATGTGGTGCAAGTGTAGGCAATTGCCTCAGCTTGTCGATAGATCTCGGAGTGAGTACAAAATAGTCGTCGAGTACGTGCTTCGCCAGTCCAACGCTCTGTGACGAGGTGGAGCTCAACTGCTGCATCCAGATGCCAGCTGCGTTGAGGACTGCTTTATTTTGCGTGGCAATAGCCAAGGAGACCAAGTTACCTAGAGTCTTGTACCTAGAGCTATCTGCTGGGAAGAGCGACAAAAAGAGGGCATTGCGTACAGCGGGACTACCACCTGGGCTTTCGAAAAAATCGCTCAGAATCTCTATCAATTGCAACTCCTGTATCGCCATAGTCATGTTACGTTTCTTCCGCTTATCCAGCTCTCCGAATACAAACTCTGATATCAGATCCATTTGTAGATCCACCTGCTTGCCAGGTCTGCAGCAGAGTATCTCTTGAATAAAAGAACACAGATGTGTGTTTTTAATAAAACACGATTTCGCACCATCGAAACGAGCGCTTGCCGGCGACAATCAGATCAAGATAACCTACAATCATACCTATTCTGCATAGAGCTTCTCTGGCGCAATAAGGAAAGTCCAACTTTCTGAGAGCTTGCTTTATATCGTTTCCAGTCATAATTGCGAGTACAATCGCGAGTCAACCTGAAAAAGAAAAAAAGTCTCATCGAAGAAACTCAAAAAGGGAGAGAGAGGAAAAAAGGTTAGCGAGTGTACACAGACCGTGTGCGTACAGGCATGCATGCGTACTGCGACGCGATACACGCGCGCCACCGCGACGCGCAACACCGGTCATCATCATCCGGTGGCGCCGCCGACGAGTAGGTTGCGAAGCGCGTTATTAGTCAAAACAATCGCCGAAATCGTGATCTATTTTTAGGTCGCGCCCACCAGAGCCGCGGTGCAACGCCGTTTTCACTCGTAGACCCGCAAAAAAAGTACGCGCTGTTGGTGCCCTTCCGCGACGCCGTCTCGCATTCACGGAGAAGTTCAACGACCCCCCGCCGCGATTGTGACAAACAAGCAGCCGTGCGAGCGAACGCGCGCGGCCGGCCATGTTTATACCGTGGTGAGAAATTTCGAGCCGACCCAGCCGTCGTGAGCCACGAGCGGGACTCTCCACGTGCGCCCGCCTGCTACCGCCGCGACTATTCGTGTGTTGTCGCTACGTCTCACGCCCAGGTCGGCTCTAGTCCCAGCATCACGCACCCCCGCGTTCGGAGCGACGATGGAGTCAGCCGAGAGGGGTAAGTGACAACTCGGCAGGATGTTGACCAAATTACAGCAATATTGAGTCTTTGACACGAATCACAGCTCCCGCGAGGGCAATGGCAGTGTCAGGGTCGAAAAGGAAGTAGTTCAGTGACCGCGTTCGCTCGTCAGTCCAGGTCCAGAGAACCGTGCATTCTCGGTCATGCCGAGTTTTCGTCGCTACTAATATCGCCGCGGTCTATAGATATCGCGACGGCTGTCCGTTTAGCCGAAGGCGTTTCGCGAAAATCGCGCCGTCGATCGAATCTATGTCACGCAATGTGCTTTTGGCCGCGACTGTACCCGACGGCGGCGACGACGACGACGACGACGATGGCACGTCGTCTCTTTTTCTCCGCGACCGCACACACTCTCTACTCCTCGTTTTCGTCTCCGGTGCGAAGAGCAAACGTGGATTGTCATCTCTCTGACTTTCGGCACGTGAAAGATCGATGGACGAAAAGATTGTCCCACAGATGACGATTCGCACGCACGCGCGCGCCCGCTCGCACGCACGCACGCACGCACGCACGTATGCATATACTCGCCGAGGTTGGCGAGAGTAGTTCTCACGAATACATTTCCCCGGCAGTCATCGACTCCAACAAGAGGTAGCTAACTCTCGAGCGTTCCGCGTTGCGCAACGCCGTGACCGTAACTGCGTGTCTTTAACCTACATCGGGAGTGGCGCGCGCGGTGGCAACATGTTCGCTCGCTCGCTCGCTCGCTCACTCACGCGCGCGTATCGGAGTCACGGTGTCGTTTGACAATAGCGGCGCACACGTGAGAATTATTATCGCCTGACCGAGTACGCGCAAGGCGTGCGCGCTCGGACAGCTGCGGCTGGTGGCCGCGCCATGCGGGTCGCGCGACGTGTCGCGACGTGGCGACACCTGCCGACCGCTCGTGCGCGCCCTACCTCAAGCCGGATCGAATTAACCCTCCTGCATCGTCGCCATTCAACCCTCGCGCGGTCGTCCAGATGCAGTCGAGGCCTTGCTCACAAAATCGGGATGCGAAAGATCTGTAATTATCGTCGGCGAGGTACCTCTCGCGGAAAATTGGCACAAGGTTAGACTAATGTCTTTTTTTATCATATAATTCTTATATATCTCGCACGCGACTCTCTCTCTCTCTCTCTCTCTCTCTCTCTCTCTCAAATCTCTACGCAGGCGAAACGAATGCAGATACGTGATACGCGCATTCTATCGTTATGGTGGATTATCTGGGCGTCCTGCTGAAATAATGTTTATTACAATGAGTCGAATTGTGGCAAGGATCATCATTTGGTCATATTTATTCTAAATATCGAGACTTTTACGCCGTTTTGTGATATCCTTCGTCAATAGGTTCACCGAGAAGGAAAAAATGCTCTGATATACAAAATGGCTTCTTCAACCATTTTGATACAGAAAATCGATTGATCACACGTCGCCGTGATCAATATTCCTGCTTCGAGAATATGACTGTTACCTCTTGCTCCCTCTGAATCGTTCAACAAAGTTAATATCTTTCTAACGAATGCGAGATTGTCTGTTATATTTATGCGCGAGCAATTATTATCTTTTCATATATCTACGTTCTACTTGATTCGACAGATTTTCTATTGCTCTCACTGAAATTACTTTGTGTCACTCGAATGTTTTATTAGATCTGAAATATTAAATAATTGTGCACGTGAAAATTCTGCTGAATATAAAGTCGTCATCTCGATAAATGTTACAATCCTTTTGAGGGATGTATAGTACAATCCTATAAATATACGCGCTTGCTAGAGTAAATTGCGCTTGCGGGAGCGTTTCTAAATTTGGCACGGTAAATGTAGTGTCTGTGTGTGTGTGTGTGTGTGTGTGTACGCGCGCGCTCCTGTGTGACCCAACCGTCGACCTTTCTGCATTCATTCCGGTCTCTGCGAGATCACGGCCGCGACTCTCCTCATTCCTTTTTCCCACCACTCTTTTTTACGCATACCGACGCCTCTTATGGCTTTCCTCTCGCTTCTTGAGAGGCGCTTCGCTCGCACCCGTCTCATCGAGGATAATTCGTAATCAATTATTAAATTATCTGTCGAGTCGTATTTTCTCTCTCTCTCTCTCTCTCTCTCTCTCCGTTTAGTAGACATTCACTTTCCCAAACGAAATATATATCATAAAGTAAATAATTAGGGATATCTTAAATGAAAATTTTGATTCCACATTAACCTCATACGAATACTCAGTCGAACTTAAAAAACACTATACATTTAAAACAATGTTTTACTGGTCTAAACAGAATGTTAAACGTCACAGTTAAAATAGAGAGAGACTCGCTTGCTAAATTTTACATAGAATAGTTCCAGATAAAAATTCTGTCTTTGTTATCTATATTGATTGAATACAAAACATATGCGATATCGCAGTTTTTACTAGTCATTTATCTCTATTAGTTAATACCTAGATCATATTCGCTATGACTGCAAGGTCACAGAGTAATAGAAAATAATCTCACCGCTAAATTTTAGCAAATTGTCCACAAATTCCTGTAGAAAGCGATGGTCGATAGATTAACTGCAAGCAATAGTCTAAACTCACCAAAAATCTTCAGAACGGTAACTTTATAATTATATATTTTCTTTAATCTGTAATTATCTTGGTTGTTTGCAAAATGATTTTTTCGTTCTGTTTGGTAAGATATATCTACACAGAAGCGAATGCACAGGTGTGCCGACATTCTGTATGTGTGTGTGTGTGTGTGTGTGTGTGTGTGTGTATTTTTCCTTTTTTCAGTTATTTTACGTACCTGTCGATCGAAGGGTGGAAGAAAAAGAAAACGGTGTGAAGTTCAGGGAACAGGAAACTGGCATTTCATAGTCGAAACGAAGCAGGCGCGGTTCGCTTTTTTGACGACAGAGAGAGAGAGAGAAAGAGAGAGTGAAAGAGCGAGAAGGAGGAAAAGGTCATAGGACGGTGTAAAATGTGCGGATTAGTTCTTTAGTCTGACAAGAGGACCCACGAAATTCTTCTTTCTTCTGGAACTGTAGTCTACGCGTTTCGCCAACAACAGCAATAGCAGCAGCAGCAGCGTAGCCCTTTATCCCTCATTTTTAATCCGCGTACTCCATCCGTTTTATTCTCTTTCGCGACTCTTCTCTCCTCTCCCTGGTCTCTCTTCCTCGTTATATAAGTCCAAGGACGAGCTACACGTTGCTACGTGTTCCTCTCTGTTCGCCCCGCCTCTCCTTTCTCTATCTCTTCATCGTCCTCTTTCCGTCCTTCTTTGATCTCCCTTTCCCGCTCTCGCTCGTTCCCGCTTCTCTTTTGCAACGTTGTCCTGCCACGGTGCACTGCGTTACGACGTGTTATACGATGTGCCTCTGTTATCCTTCTTAGCTCCTACATCTTCCAACACGCTTTGCTTCATCGTGCGCAGTCTCAAAAACGATCACCGCGAATTCTTTGGGAGAGAAGTAGCAGCGGCAGAAATATTCGAGTGCTTAAAATTTTATCGTTTTGTCATATCTTAGGCTTATTAATTATTTCTTATGATCATATTGTTTTGGAAAATTTATATGAAAAGAGGAGATTCGAATTATCTCATTGTTCGCCAATTAGCAAGTCGACTGAACATTTGCCGACATCATCCTGGCTAAATTGTAGACTCTGTATATTCGCGTGAAGAGATTTTCTAGAAGCAACGTGTATCACACACTATAACAATCGTGAAAAGAGCTTAAAAGAAAGCTAAGATCTTGTTCTTTTGGGAAACGACGCGATTGCGTATCTGAGATCAAATAATAATAAGAACATATTTACTTATTTAGCGCGCGTCATCGACATAATTACAAAAGTGGAAAGAGGCGTTAATTGTCATAAAGGTGAGTGTTTTCACTGATACCGGACTTATAGAAGCACGCCGTACCGCGTCGCGCCGCGTCCAATTGCAAATTCACTTTACGTTACGGAACAAAATCGTCGTTCCGTGTTCCTCTCTCCCTCGTTTGTTCGCGCCAATTAGCAAGATAGAATTTCGCAGCGTGGGCGCAGGACATGCACATTCGCTATTTAGATATTCGGCTTGTCGTATCGGCCAGGATGTCCTGCAGTTATAAATGTCGCTGGCTTTTCTGAATGGCGAGAGCTGCGCAAAGTCGTCGACGTGGGCGAGAAATTTTGACACGCAGCTTGATAATAATCGGGCAAATGTATGGGAAACTTAACCTAACCTAACCTTTCGTATCGCCGCGAACAAAATACATGTCGCGCCTTAGACCTTGCAGCGGTCCGACGGATAACACGCGATACTCGAGAAAAATGAATTATGAATGAACGGCAAAGAGAAAAACAGCAGTCGTTGCTCCTTGCTCCTCGCCTGCTCGGATGAGAGAGAAAGAGAGATCTCGCGCGTGATCGCGCGCGAGATAACAATTTGTTATAGCAGCAATGATTCGGCGGCGGATCGCGCCGCTATTCACTGGGTTATTCACTGGCGAACAAGACGATACACGCGACAAGTTTATTAATCGTGCACGTGCGCGCGCTGCTCTCCAGCGAAGCGTAATTATGCAATCGCGTTGCGCTATCGTTGCACCGTATCTCGGTATTGCCGGTGCTTCTCATGGCGAATGCGACTCGTCGACCCAGTGACATTGGTCGCCACCGCGCGCGCGAAACAGGACACACCCACAATACGCGCGCGATAGCTTCGATCCGCGAAGGCCGCGCGCGGCGATTATTCACGCGTCGCTTGACTCGCGGCTTTTCGCACGCCTGAAGGCGAGAACCATTCGACGCGCCGAAGAAAAGTCGCCTGGGTCGATGCCTATTTTTACAAAGCAGAAAACGC